TTACAAAAATAAATATTAGTCAATTTTAAATATTTAATAATTTAAAAAATTAGTATTAGATAATATTTAATAATTATTTAAATTTTTAATAATTTAAAAAATTATTGATATTTTTATGTCGACTTTAAAAGAAAGGTAAGAGATGTAGGAAAAAAAATAAAAAGAAGAAAAAAGAAGAAAAGACAAAATAGAAAGAAAAAAAAATGAGAGATGGAGAGAAAAGATAAATAGAAGAGAGATTGGAGAAAGAAAAAAGATTAAAAAAATAATAGATAGAAGAAATAAAAGAAATAGGGAGAGGAAAAAAATGAGAGAGTGAAAGAAGAAAAAGAAAATAGAGTATAAAAAATGTAAGAGAGAAAAAAAAAAGACAAAAGATAGCAAAAAGAGATAAATATATATATATATATATGCTAAACTATGTGACAAATATGGTCGTTAAGGAAAATAAAATTCTACTATTTTTAAAATTTTCACAAATTTTTTAATTTTAATTTTTTTAATAAATTTTTCATTCAAATAAATTATTTCACTTTAAATGGTATTTAAATTTTTTTAAAAAAAATATTTTATTTAAATTTCTCATTCAAATACATTATTGATAATTTAATTACACGAAATTAGCCAACAGTTCACCGCATCGTGCTATTGCGTTGTACGATTTCCATAAATCATAAATGTCTATACTATTATGGACTCCTATAAAGGGACTAGTACAATTATATTACACACCCCATCTTTCTATAATTGTCTCTCATCACGTTGCATTTGTATAAAAAAAAAAGTTATAAACCAATATTTTTGTTTTTATAAATTATTTTCTTATTTAAAATAAATTTAAAAATCAAACCCTGCATTGTATAATGATGTTAACCTTGATTACTTTTTTTTAACTGCTATTAATTATCTTTATTATTTTACTTATATGAATGATGTTAATAAATAATTACACTGGACGAACCATCTTCATAAAAAAAATGACAATAATAAAAATAAAATAATTATGATTTTTTTTATAAAAATGATATAAAATAATTTTTCCATACAAGAGAGAGAGTACCACATTGCATAATTATGTATAATTAAAAAAATTAATATAATAAATCTAAAAAAATATGTAGAAATGTGACCGCAGAGAACTTTTCTAAATTTTTTTTAATGTAGTAGTAATTATGTATAATTAAAAAGATTAATATAATAAAGAGAGAAGCATAGCCTAAATCCACCTGTAAGTCAAAGTAAAAGCATGGAAAGGTACGCTAAGGCAACGTTGAATGGTTTAAGAAAAAAGGTTTATAGAGAAAATAATAAAGAAATATTATTTAATGGATACGAATCCTGTTTTGTGTATGCAGCCGCGTTAAATCTTGGGGTCAGTTA